TCGTATCCGCCGACAGGGGGTACCAAATCTTACAGCAGGTTCCCCAAACCTATATTATAGGAATCCCACCCCGACCCGTCAAGAGCGTTCAACATCGACCCACGAGGAGGTCGGGGAGATGACACTCCATCCCCTCCAATCCCCGTCTCGCCCCCACCTCGATTTCTCGGGTATCCGACCCGATCCTCAACCGGGCGTCTACGAACCCACACAATCTCCCGAGCCAGAGGTGAGACGAGTGAGTGATTGTGACGCATATCAGAGGTTGTGTTTGTCCACTGCAGTGGACCCGCGTCGGTGAATCTGGTTCCGCTCCACACGAAGACAAATGAGGCATACCGTGCTGTAAGAAGGCCCTGTGAAAGTGGGCTTTTATGTGGGTACGGTATATATGTATATACCCGCTATCCCCTAACATTCCAAGAGAGTAGATGGGACAAGCCATTGTCAAGGAGCTCTCTCTTCTTGTTTCCTTTTTAAGATTCTTAACGTCCCCGGAGGCGCTAATATTCCCAGCACGAGGAAGAAAATAAAAAGGAAAAAAAAAAAGCCCCCAGGAATCTCCCCCCCCCCATTTCTTTCTTTCTTGCTCGCTCTCCCAACGGTACAATACTGTGAGAGTTAGTGAAGCGGGATATGTCGGACCAAGTCCGAAGGTACGATATTAATACCCCCTCCCACCACCCTCCCCGCGATGGGATCCGGTGGGTTTGAATGTTCCCGACACACCTTACCAGCAGCAGCGGGTGATGACCTGCCCTTACCGTGAAAGCTGAGCAGCATACCGCATCAATTTTGTGCAATACCGGAAACGCTCCTGTTCGGCGGGTATCGTGATAAATATGAATGATTAAAATAGCTATAACCTTCAGCCAGCGTGAGGAATGTGGGGTATCATATGAAAAAAGTTTAGCGTTACAAAAAACTAGTAATGCCTTACTACAAATATTGCAATTGTCAAAACACCATATCCGTACCCTGCCATAGCAGTATTATTGTCTATCTCTCCGAGGAAGGAAGAAAATGAAATGATCAGTATGTGCTCGTGCAGTTACCTACCATATGGTGCAAAGCGTCCAGAACGTGCATGGTATGATAGATACTTCTTCTTTCCCCTTCAGCCCTGGACATCACCCCCTCTCAGAAATACCCCCCAATGGGTGAGTACTTATATGCACCATAGATGAAATGAAAATTTTCCATTTGCCAAAAAGGCATGTTAAACACCCATTCGATAGAATAGCTCTCTATATCGCAAGCAAAAAAAAAGAGAGAGAGAGAGAGAGAAGGGGGGGGGGCATAATCCGGAAGTGGCTGGCAGTGGCTGGCTGGCAGAACAAGGCCTGAAATACCAAAGAGGAAAGAAAGAGCCAAACATAGAACATCAACGCCCAAATTTTTCAGCTCTGCACGCCAAAATAAGCCTCAAGTAATCTACTCCCAAATGAGAGAAAAAAACCCCATATTTTCCCCACGATTCCCCCCAGCCCCAGCTCACCTCATCAACTCCCCAAATCCCAGCACTCTTATTACGCCATACTCGTACTGTAACGAACAGCTTGTGGTAGAATCCCTGACCCCAGGCGTACTTGTACAAGTACAAGCACTTACCCATGGCAGGATAATTAATCAACCTGACCATCCTGACGCATCGCGCGTAGGCAAGGCCATCATCGCATCGCAATCCACACACAACACGTTTCAACGGCCCAAAATTTTCCCGGGGTTGCCTGTTCCAATCACAAGGCAAACGCGCATAATCTTACCCTCCTTGATGACTAATCCATCATACATATAATAACCCACGCTGCGTTTGCCCTCCCCCTCACATGCGCTAAACCCTTCCCATCCACTTGAAGACCGGTAATTCGACGCAATTCTGTAATCACGTAATATCACTCGTCTAATTCGTGGGTTGCTTGCCCACCTACCTTACTTACCCACTTCGCTTGGCTTTGCCTCGCCACGACGAACCCTACTTGTTTGGTATCCTGCGTGTACCCGAGTCCGTCTCTATCTAGCCTTTGATTGATTGATTTGGGACTCAGTTGTGATGTGGCATCACGCTTGTGAGGGGCGAGGGGCGAGGTGACGCAGTCGAAGGGAATTTAAAATATATTCAAAGAGAAAAAAATGAATGTACAATCCCCCCCACCCGGTTCTTCCAGTGCTGTTCAAGGACAGAGACGCAAGTAAATGGGTCGAATAAAAAGAAGCAAAACTCCCCATGCCCAGCGCAAAGAACGAACATAGTTGCCCACCCTCTAGTCAAAAACATAGGAATATAAAAAAAGCGGTCCCGAAATCCGATAAGAAAAACATGCATCAACCGCCATCAACCATCACCCTCATTTTTATCTACTGCATCCATCCGCCAGACGCACATCCCTATTTACCCATCATGCTGACCAACTCGGACGGCACACTTCCTGCTAAGCAAAACCTCCATTCCTAGCATCTCAGTAACAAGCGTGTGATGCTCCACCGGTTGCTTGACAACGCGAATATCAAACTCGCGAACTACAGCAGCAGTGAACTTCATCATCATGAACATGGCGAGATGTCTCCCAATACACACCCTCCCGCCAGAGCCAAAGCTAAGCCAGCCGGCCTCGATGTAGTTCTTCATACTACGCTTTTCACCTTCGAGCATCTCGGTCGGGTGGTCCTCCAGCCAGCGCTCTGGGCGGAACTGCGCAACGTCAGGGCCGAAGTAGCCCTCATCGTAGTTGACCTGGTAAGCGGCCATGCCAACGTTGTAGCCCGGCGGGATGTGGTATTGGTGGAGTTGGCAGCCGGATGGGGGAACCTTGCGGGACAGGGAAAAGGCGACGGCGGGCGAGAGACGTACAGCCTCGCGCACAGCGGATTCGAAGATAGGGTACTTGTTTTGGCGGCCGTTGTGGCGGATGAAGTCTTCGAGGTGAAACGTGTTGTCTGTTGTTGCGAGCTCCTCGCGAACCTTTTGCAGGATCTCAGGGTGAAGGGTGAGTTCGTGGATTAGTTTTACCTGGGTATGCGGGACTGCGCCCACTGCGCCGGCACTATGGAGGATGATGATTAGTCTCGCGAAAAATAGTCTAGTGGGGTGGATTGCATACATTAAGTTGAAGACTTGAATGGTTGTGCCTTCCGCTTGGTTGCCATGAGGATAGTGCTCCCTCATCTTACTCTGCGCATTGTAAAACTTCGCCAAGAGGTGTTTGGGATTCTTCTCCCCCAGGGTTTTAAGATCCGCCTATTAACTAACCGTTAGCCATCATCCCTCAACCCAAGATTATGAGGAGCACTCACAATCCCAGTATCAAACGTAAATGTCGGCAAGAGCAACACGTTGCGATAAAGATTGATCAAAAACCTGAGTAAAAGATTCTGACGGATAGCACGGGAAGTAGCCGACAACACCCATGGCAACGGCATAAGAGCACCAACGGTTTTGATAATAACCCTCATTCCATAAGCCGCGTTGTTGACATCTTTACCAGCAAGGCAAAACCCCGCAGACCGGTCTACCGTAATCTGTGCAACCAAGTCCAAAGCGAAGAACTCCGCCCAGTCAACCATCTTGCAGGGAGTCCCGGTCCTCGCATGATGTTTGTCAAGACCTTCGATCAACTCATTCACGGCCTTTCCACAAAAATCAATACAAAAACTCCTAGCCAATTGAAACATCAGAAGGAGGGAAAGAAACCTTATCAAAATTCTCCTCAAGATTCAACAACCCCTGTTCCGAATAAAAATGCGACATATAATACTTTCCCAGCCGAGCCTTCTCGGGGTCTTGCTCGAAAATAAAACTAAAATCCTGATTGATAGACCCAGTTTCGTACGAGTGCGACTTCCTGAAGAACGTAAAGTCCTTCTTATGATTTTGAAACCCATAGATCACATTCCTGAGACTAGGATCCGAGACCGAGATATCGTTCGGTGCAATCCACACGAGCGGGCCATACTTCTTGTGCAGGTCCATCAAGTCCCTGTGCCAGGTGTGGCGCATAACATAGTACCAGCGATAGGCATTCGTGAACTTGCCCAGAAATGGGCCAGGGATATTTTGTTTGCGGAAGGGGCTCGTTAGGTAGGCGTGGGTCCAGTAAGCAAGTGTTAAGATGAGGATTCCAGCAAGAGAGTAGAGTTTATGTTGCATGAGGCCATATACAGCCCGACCAAGGAGATTCAAGAACATCGTGAGAAATGGGGAGGGTGAGAAAAGAGAACTGAACGCGGTGTGTTTTTAGGATCGGTGGGAAAGCAGGAAATAAACCTAGAAGTGAGAAAACTTGTTAGAATTATAGAAGCATTTTATGGGGCAGGAGGTGTACGCTTACGGAAAAAATATCACAAAGGAACAACCTCGACCGGGCGAGTGTACGAGTAGAAGGTGGAGGAAGGTAATGCAGGAAAGAGGGAGTGGAAGAAGTCTTGCCCGAGGATTTATGCAGAAGGGGGACGAGA